AGCCCACCGCCAGCGAGCTTGGATCTGGCTTCTGACCTCACCTTCTTTCCCCACAGTCCATGCAGTCCTGGGGGTGGAGGTGGGGACAGCGGAAACAACCAGGCTTCACCACACCTTCCCTTACAGGCACCCCAACCCCATGGTTGAGGCCCTCCCTGAGGGGTCCCACGGGCCAGGTCCCAGGGCCACCGGTGGTCCTGGATGTGCCTTCTTGTTCCCGTTGGCAAGGGGCCTGCATCAGAGGGCGCCCAGGACCCCGACAGGGAAGTAGGGGCGGAGTGCTGGGGTGACTTGGCCACGTCTCTCAAAGCTCACCCCAGGCCGGCCACACTGTCCTTCCCCAGGGGACCAGGAGCTCCTCCCACCAACTTCACACCCAATCTCTTCCCCTCCCCCTCTCCAGCCTCAGGTCCCCCCCCCTTCCCTTCCTCAGTTTCCAGACCCCACCCCAGTGCCCTAGGCCAGTCCTCTGACCACGGCCCCTAGATCCACAATAAGGGTCCGCTCTCCTGTGTCAGGGCCCATGGGGACGTGGCATTCCCGTATCCATACTCTCGTCCCCAAGACACGAGGGTCTCGCTGCTCTGCCTGTGCCGAGAAGATCCCAAGGCCAGGCCCCCGCCCTACAGGCGGACCCACCTTGTAGGCCTGGACCCTCGTGCCTCTCCCTGCGGTGTCACATCTCCCCCCCGCCCCCCATGGAACTCCTCCTGGGCTGAGGAGCTCAATCCTGGCCACTGTCTTTGGAGTCTGCCGGGCGTCCTTTGGGTGCCAGGCTCTGTGCTAGGTGTCGAGGATTCAAACCAAGAAAGTGCACGCGTTTCCCGCCCCCTGAAGCTCACAGTTCCCCTAAGGGAGGCAGACAGCTGGGGAAGAAGCAGCCTCCACGGAAACACGCGCTCCCAGAGGCCTCGAACACCCATGGGCCTGGAGGCCACACCGGAGTGCTCACGGCCACCGACGGCAAGGCCTGAAATGTCCATCACAGAGAAAGAAATTGCAATATATTCCTTCAGTGGGACACTCCGCAGCGGGACTTGACCAACATGCTCTGTGAAGGGCCGGAGGGTGAATATTTTCCGCTTTGGGGGCCATAGGGTCTCTGTCCCAACGCTCCGCTCTGCCGATGGAGGGTGACAGCCTCCTAGATCGCCCACGAATGAATGCGCGTGGCTGTGTTCCAATAAAACTTTATTTGTGGGCGCTGAGATGTGAATGTTGTATCATTGTCATGTGCCGTGAAATATCCTTCTCTTGATTTTCTTCCAACCATTAAAAACATGGGAGAAAAACCACTCCTACCTCGCAGGCCTTACCGAAAGGCAGCGGGGCGGATTGAGCCTTCCCCTCACTCCGCCACCCCTGCCCTGGGGCCGCTGTTTACGACCCCTGCTCTTTAGCGATGAAAACGCACAGACTGTAGCCACACTGGCAACTGGACAGATCTTGCGAACACAACGGAGTGAAAGAAGCAGGTCGTGAGAGAATACACAGCCTCACTGTGATTATACAAAGTTCAAGGACAGGGAACATGAATCCGTATCATTCAGGGACACACACTGAGAATTAAAACTATAAAGAGATGCTGGGAAGCAATTGCCCCGAGAGTCAGGATGGGAGAGAGGGGTGTCTAGGTGGTGGCCGGGGGGACCAGGGGCTGCAGAAGCTGGCCCCACGGGACTTTGTTTTATGATGTTTATTGTGCTGCTCTGCACAGGTATTAGAGCTCACAACTTAAAAAGAGCAAGCGATGATAATAGGGCCAACTAGAAGAGCATCTGAACCCCGACCTGAGAGGCGTTTACAGTCTACCTGGAACACAGCCCAGTGGGATTCCTATCCCACTGCTCCACCGAGAGACCCCCCTCTCCAGTCAGACTGAACCTCTCCCCATCCCCGCCCCTGACTCTGCCTTCTGGCCTCCCAGTCTTTATTCCCGCTGTGCGTGCCACCCACCCACCTGCTCGGCCTCCTCCCCCTCTCGGCTCCCTTGCCCCCGCCAACACTCCCCCTGCCCCACCTCCAGCGGCGAGGTGCTTCTCTCCGCCTGCCTCCGGAGCTCTGTATTGGGATTAGACAAAGATGAAAAGCAGAGGCCAATCCTGACAGAGGCTCGGAGCTGCGGGAAAGAAGGCGGGAGGCTCCTGAACATCTTTTGGACGACAAAGGAGCAGTGACACCCGAGTCCAGAGCAAGGGGGGAGGGGAGAAACCTGCATCGGCAACTCTCTCCTTGGGTCATGTTCTGTCATGTTCTCTGGGCAAGCCTCAGCGTTTCCATCAGGCTGACAGTAGGGATGGTTCACCTCTAGTACCCCCCCAACCAGCCAGTGCCCAGAACGGGTCCTCCTCATGGGCACTGGAGAAATAAATACAGAGTTCTGAAAAGGCCGAGAAGAGAGAGGGGACTGACATTTGTTGGGAGCACAGAGGCTCAGAAAGGTTAAGTAACTTCTCCAAAGTCATGCAGCAGTCCGCAGAAGAAGGCAGGACTTGAACCTGGGCTCTGCCTGGCCCCAGAGCCCTTGCAGGTGACTGAAGGCTGCTGGAAGTGGGGAGCAGATGTGCAGCTGTTCCCAGGAGAGCCGAATCTCAGGTTCGCATGACTCAGCCCCGGGGGAGAGCAGCTGTCCATGAGCCCACAAGTGGCTGCCAGACCCTTTGAGAAAAGTAGAATTTGCAGAGAGCTCAAAAGACTGGAGGAGGGTAGGACTCAGGCTCGAGTCCCAGCTCACGACAGGAGGAGGAGGGCTGGGAGCAAGGGAGGTCCTGAGACACCAACGCATAATGAGCCAGAGGCCACCAGCAAGGTCAGAGAGAGCCGAAGGAGCCCGTGGGCTCGCTAAGATACCCAACTGGCCAACTGACTCTTGGATTTCCATCGGCTCTGCTAGACCGGCAGGTGGCTGACGTTCTCTGAGCCCCAACCACTCCGTCTCGGGGCCTAACGCCAGGCAGGAACTGCTATTGTACCCATTTAACAGATGAGGCAATCGAGGCATAGAGACATTAGGAACCTGCCCGGGGACTTGGGGTGAATCACAGAGCTCAGATGGAAAGTCAGCCTGAACGCCCTGGTGTATGTCCTCAATCCTGCACCACCCCGCGGCTCAGGGAAGAGGCCCGTTGTCCCTAGGCTTAGGGGACAGATGGAGAGAGTGAGCCAGGCACCCGCAGGGCGGGACAAGGAGTGACGTTGCTGTCTGCTGCTCTGAGACGTTCTAGGGGACCAGGCTTTGTCACCTCTTGTGAAAGAGCAGAGTTTCTCTTTTGTACAAACTTTGCTGCAATCCTGAGAAAAAAAATCTGCTGTCTGTTTACAGTTCAGACAGTTACAAAAGTGCTTCTCACCGTGGCATCCCGCAAAGTGTCACCCACTGTTACCCAGGTGTGCTGGGTTCCTTCTGGGGAGGAGGTCCGCACAAGGAGAAATGGTGGGAATTCGAGGGAAATTCAGTTAGACATGACCGAGTTGACGCATTGTCACCAACAAGCTGCATTTCCTTGGGGCCATCTCTGAACCGGCCACCTGGAGGGGGGTGGGGGGAGGGTGCCGGAGGGACTGCAAGGTGTGCGAGGAGAAAGGACATGATGTCACAAGGGGCCCAGCCCAGGAAGCCCGCTGTAGGTACCCAGTCAGCTCTTGCCTCCTGGGGGGAGGACAGTGACATTTTTCTGTGAGGAATGTTCTTTACAGAGAGAGCTAAGAGATGGGGGCTCAGTGGGTTAAGCCTCTGCCTTCGGCTCAGGTCATGATCTCTGGGTCCTGGGATCGAGTCCTGCCTCTGCCTCCCTGCTCAGCGGGAGCCTGCTTCTCCCTCTGCCCCTCCCCCGCTCATGCGTGCACTTGCTGTCTCTCTCTCAAAAATAAATAAAATCTTATAAGAAAGAAGAAAGGCTGAGAGGAGACCCAAGGGTCCGGGCTTAGGGATCAGGCTGACTTGGGTCTAAATCTGACCTCCACTCACCCTCTAGGTCTTGGGCAAGCCACCTGGCCTCCCTGGGGCTCCGTTTCGCCGTCCTTAAGCGGTGACGGCCGTGACAGTACCCCAAGGGTGGCTGGAGGGGGGCTGACCGTGAGAGTAAAGCCCAGAGCAAGTGCTCAAAGCGGCTAATTCATGACAGTAAGAAGAGTTGTTGTCGTTTATGGCATAAATGAAAGGCAGAGCATGAAGCAGAAGTTGGAGGCAGCTCCCGGAAGCCTCATAAAAGTCTGGGTGAATATAGGAAACCAAGCACCCAGGCTGCACAGTGGGGTGGGGGGACCCTGGGAATCCAAGAGTTTGCCGGGGCTGCCCTGGGAGAGACTGAGCCGGAGGGACCCCAGCGTGGGCAGCCCCGGAGAGACAGTCCTCGTCTGGATAAAGGTGCTCCAAGGCCACGCACCCCAGGGCCTGGCTTGGATCCAGGCCGCCCCCTTTCTGAGGGGACCTGGGACCAGGAAAGGGGGCACGGCTTTGGCCCCGGGAATGGCATCCGCTCATGTTGCGAAAGAACACGAGGTGGCCTCTGGCTGTAGTTCAGGAAGTGGGGGGTGCTCCCCTTTCTGGCAAGAGTGACCATTTGGCGTCCCCGGGCACAGTGCTCCTGGTCTCCCGGGATAACACAGGGAGCGAGGCCGAGGCTGGCCCTGCCGCTTGGCAGATTAAGATTCCACGGAGGAAAGCTGTCCCTCCCCACCGACCCCACACCTGCGCTGACACCCTTGGCCGCAGCAAGGCCCACCCACCCTGTCTGAGGGCCAGGGGTCAGGCTGTGGGAGGAAGGCTGCTCACTCGGCGGGGAGGGGGGCGCTGCCCGCACCCCTTTAAAAGCCACCTTGGTGAGGCATTAGCGAACCATCTCCTGGATCCCCGAAGGCTTTCCCTGTGAAGTCTACAACGTTCAAACGCAACCAGCAAATCTCCCGAGACAGGTCCCCAGGAATTAGCCGCACGGGCAGATGAAAGCGGCTGTGATGTGCCGGCCAGAGGGCTCGTGGGAAGGAGGCAGGCAGCGTACCTGTGAGCCGCAGGGTCCAGGGAAACAGGAGCAAGGCCAGGAGCCAGGGGCCCGAGAGCAGGTCCGGCGGGGCCCGCCGCCACGGAGGCTGGCGCTCCATCGGGGCCTCCTGCTCAGTCTTCCTCTTTCGTCTCAAGTTCACCGAGGGGATGACCTGCCGGCCCCACAGTTCCCCTTTGAGTCCCCACAAAGCTCCTCCTTAGCCAAGCTTCTGCTTCCTCGGGGCCTCACTGTGTTGGATCCCCTTCATAACTCGGACTTTCCGAGCAAGGAGTGGGCACGGCTCCGGGGCGAGGAATCTGGTGCACGTGCCCCTCTGCCTTGGGGAGCTGCTCCCCTCCTCGGTCCCCTTCGAGCCGGTGGCCCATCGGTAGACACTTGGCGACAGAGGGGACGCAGGACTGCCACGAGGAACTCTGGGGCTTGGTTTAGCTGCTCACAGCTGAAACTTTTAAAACTGTGTTCGCAGATTTCCTGCCAGAAATTGTCCAGGGGCCTGTGGATTCGTGTGCTCATCCCAGCGCAAGGTTTCGGGGGGGCGGTGGGAGTTGGGGTATCGGCTGGGGGCGTGATGGAGAAGGGGCAGGCAGCTAGGGTGAGGGCAGGAGCCCATGTTCGCAGCCCTGACTGGTGCCAGGAGGCCAGCTGACGGTCATCAGCGCGGTGAGGGCCACCACAGACACAGCGCAGAGGCCCAGTGGTGGCCTCCTCTCTGACTCCCCTGCAATGTCCTCCGCCCCCCCCCAAGCTTCCCTCGGCCTGAGCTCACCCCTCCCCCCCCAAGCTTCCCTCGGCCTGAGCTCACCCCTCCCCCACCAGCAGGCATCTTAATTATTGGCTGCCTGACGCCCCCTTCCCCAGCAGCCTCCAGTTTTGCCCTTGGCCTTTTGGAGTCCAGCCCTGGGCCTGAGCCGGGCGAGGTAGGGGTTGATGTTTGCCTGCAGGCTCTGGGAGGCAGAAGGCAGGGGTCTGGGGCTGGAGGGGAGGACCCAGCGCGAGGCAGGGGAGGCTGGGAGAAATTCGGCCGAGCTTCTGCACATATGAGCGCTTCTCCTTTCCCCGTGAGTGCCCGTTAACCCTCAAGACAAACGTGATTCTTCCAATTTTACAGAAGAGAAAACGATGCCTCCTAGAGGAAGAGCACCTCGCTAGAGATCAGGGCAGCTCCGTGGGGCCCGAACTCAACGCCCGCCCGGCTGTTCGAAGGCTGCCCCAGGCAATCCCCAGTGGGGGCGTGGCAGGGTCCAGCTTTGGTTCTCCTTCCAAAAGCTTTGCACACGCACCATGAAAGCCAGAGATGTTTCCCTGACCCCAGCAGCCCTAGGAGGGTGGCAAGGAGGAGGAGGGCTGCCCACCAGGTGAGGAAGACCCATGGACGCCAGCCCAGTCCCGCTGGCTGGGGGGCCGCAGGGACCCCGGCGCTACTGACTGTTGATCCGTCAGTGATACACGCTCGCATGTCACACTGAGACACAGATAATCTGCTTCACGCTGTTTCCGACCTCTGGGGGGATCGGGTTGTCTAAGCACCTCGATGCCATGGTGATAGACGTCACGTTAATGCCTCTGTGTGCGGAGGGAGCGTTCTGAAGGCATTGGTCTGTGCCTCTAGGAGTCTCTTTGTGGCTTGGCACTGAGGCTGAGCACCAAGACTCCTCGGAACTCGGACACGGGCTCCGTCCCCGCTCCTGGCCGCGCAGGTGCCACTCATCCCCCTCTGCACACAAAGCCCTCAGCCCCTAAAGAGGGCAGCCCACGATATGCTCCCCAGGGCAGCCCAGATCTGCACCCCAGGGCAGCCCAGATCTGCACTCTGGAGCCCTGGATGCTGTGCAGCTTCAGGGGCTGGGTCTGGTGTATGATCTCTGGCCCGTCTGGGGCCACCTCTGTCCCCTTTGCCTCTGACACCCCTGGGACTCGGCCCAGTGCAGGCACCTAGTATGTACTCAGTAAATATCGGTGTATGAATGGCTGGCTGGCTGGATGAGCAGAAGGTGAGGTCAAGTGCCTTACTCCCAGGCTTGCTGTAAAGGTGGTGCCTACTGAGGAGCCTGGCACAGGGCAGGATCCCAACAGGCTACCGTGGGATGACTGTCCCCAGCGAGAGGCAGGGATGCGCCTTGGGCAGGGAGCCGGGGGTGGGGGGGTGTCAGGCTTGCCTTTCAGGCCTTCAAGAGCCAAGTGATGGAAATGAAACCACGGCACATCGAGAAACCTCATTTTCATGAACACTTTCCACCTGTTCTTCCTACCGTGGTCCCCGAGCAGAGAAGCTGCTGGACTTGGATGTGATGGCTTTTCCTCCCCTGCGCTCCTGGTGGGGCTTGGATGGGAGGGGCAGAGGACGTGGGTTCTGGGGGCACCCCAGCGGGTAGCTGCGGGCCAGGTCTCCACAGCTGAGTTTGCGGGTAAGGACCCTAAGGGACAGCACACTTCAGTACTCCTGCTTGTCCAGGCACCGGTCTGAGCGTCCATCCATCTGTCCCCTCACATCTGGCTGAGCGCCTCTCGCCGTGGGCATTGGCATCAGCGGGAGGACGCAGAAGTGAGAGACCCAAGCTTCGAGGGCCCCACATGTGGGTGAGGAGCAACCATCCCAGCACAACCAGGCAGTAACATAGTTCTGAGCGGTTACTAAACGCCAAGACATTCTGAATCTTCAAATCAGTTTAATCCTCACTGCAATCCCATAGGTAGGTACAAAACCAATTCCATTTTACAGATGAGGACACCGAGGCACAGGAAGGTTAAAATAAGATTTGCATGGGACACCTGGGTGGTGCAGTCAGTTAAGCTTCTGACTCTTGGTTTCAGCTCAGGTCATGATCTCAGGGTCGTGAGATCAAGCCCCGTGTCAGGCTCCGTGCTGGGCGCCATGCCTGCTGAAGACTCTCTCTCTCTCCCTCTGTCCCTCCCACGCATGCTCTCTCTCTCTCTCTTTCAAATAAATAAGCTTTTTAAAAATAAAAAATAAATAATTTTTTCCTATAGTCACAAAGCTAAGAAGTGTGTCCAGAGGAAGTGACTGAGGATAACCACAGGCTCTGGGGTCCCATCCACTCTTCCAGCCTGCCTTAATAGCAGCAGTATGGACAGAGTCAAGAGTGGAGCACAGAGGGGCGCCTGGGTGGCTCAGTGTGTTAAAGCCTCTGCCTTCGGCTCGGGTCATGATCCCAGGGTCTTGGGATCGAGCCCCGAATCGAGCTCTCTGCTCCGCAGGGAACCTGCTTTCCCCCCTCTCTGCCTGCCTCTCTGCCTACTTGTGATCTCTCTGTCAAATAAATAAATAAAATCTTAAAAAAATAAAAAGAGTGGAGCACAGGAAGAAGGCATTTACTCAGGGCGAAGGGAGGAGGGAGTGCCAAGAAGGGCTTCATGGAGGAGGGGGCAACCCTGAAGGAGGAGGAAACGGGAGAGCGCAGACCTCCCTGGCAGTCCAGAGGTGCCTTACCCACACGAAGACTACAGCTTTCCAAAGTGGACCCAGATGACTGGTCTCTGTCCTCAGTTTAGTTCCTATGCGCACTTATTAAGCGCCTACTGTGTACCAGGCAATGGAGGCACAGAACATAAACCAGGTTGCTCCCCATCTAGAAAAGAAAACAGAACCCCCAGACGGGATTTCCGGCTGCCCTGAGTGAGCAAAGGTGAGCAAGCAGGCGACCATGAGGCCCCTGGCCTGGCGGTTTTGGTTCCCATGCTCGGGAGCTGCGTGTCTTCCCTGTGTTTCCCTCCCCAGCTGCAGGACGTCATTTCCTTTCTGCCCACAGACTCCAAAACCAGGGGAACCCCACCAGTTGGAGGACCCCTCCCCCACAAAACAACCCTCTGCTCTGGCCTGGTGTTCAAGATGGAGAGTGTCGACTCCATCGAGCCCCCCTCACACTGGAGAGGGCTGCTGGGGAGGGCAGCCTCCCTCCCCTCCTAGCACCACCCATGGGAGCAGTGAGCCCGGGGCGGGGGTATGGGGGACCTGACCACTAAGTCAGGGGCACTACCCAGCCTGAGAACCATCTAGCACTCAGTTGAAGGGGACCCTTCTAATCATGAGCTGGGCTGGCGCACAGTAGACCGGGCTCCTTTCTCTGGGAAAATGAGCTCACTGTCACTGGAGGTGAGCAAACCCACCTGGAGGCCCTTCTCCCTGCAGGCTGCCCACGTCCAGACTGTCGTCCCTGTTTAAGTCAGTATTTTTGCCTGTTTTGTTTGTATTTGTTTCGTGCCAGACATGGTTCTAACGGCTTTTCATGTATTGACTACTTCAGGCCTCACGGAAACCTCATGTAGATACTATTATTATTGCCCCTGCTTTACAGATGAAGAAACTGAAGATCAGAGAGTGCAAGCCACTTGCCCAAGGCCACACAGCAAGTAGGCAGTGGCACAAGGACGTGAGTTCCTGTGACTGCGCTTTTAATCATTATGTTCTCTTGCAAAATTCACTTGATCCTCCCAGCAGGGCTGGTATTATAACCCTCATCGTCCAGAATTAGTGAAAGAGGAAAAATCGGGCAAATGACCTGCTCAGGGTCACAGAAGGGATGAGGGGCGTACCTGGGGGCAGAGACCAGGGTTTTCCTGATGGACACATGCCCAGAGTGAGACAAGACTCTCCCAGCTAGTTCTGTTGGGGGAAGGCGGCAAGGACGCAGAGCTTCCTCCTCAGCCCCTGCCACGCGGAAAATAATCCTTAAGATCTGGGAGAAGAAAAAAAAACAAACAAACCACAAAGATGGCATCATTTTTCAGTATTTATCCATGTTTGCCATGTGCCGAGGCACTGTTAGGATCAGCATCCTGGTACAACCGTGTCCCTGGGAGAGATATGCACTGAGCAGGTGGCTCCGGGGAGGGTCTCACTGGAGGTCCTCAGGTGGACTGAAGGCCTTGGTCTTGAACTAATGGTACCACGCTGGTCCCCACTGGCCACACGGGACAGCCCCGGGTTGTCCTGTGCCAATGGCGCCATCTGGTGGTAAATAGGGGAAGGCTCACCCGAAGTGTCTCTCCCTGTTCCTTCTTTTTCCTCTGCCAGAGGCTGCCACCCAGCAAGCTCGGTGGAGGGCTCGAGAAGCAGCACGATGGAGTGGCCGGAGCAGGGCGGGGGAAGGGGGGTTTTCGGGGCAAGCGGGGCCGGGGGCGGGGTGCAGGG